TTTCTGTTATAATCGTTTTTCCTTGGTTTCTGACATTCAGGCTTTCAGCACATCTTATCATTTTCCTTGGGAATATCTTCTCTGTCTTCGTCTCTTTTTTGGCTTCAGATGCAGTCATACTAATTTAGGCGTTCACTGCAACTTCCAGAGTGTTTCTAAAACATCTGCTGAAACTATTCTTTAGTCCATTTCCCTCATCCTGCTCGTCCTCAATCTACCTCCCTCCATCTATTTTTTTTTTTTTAAAGAGGATTTTTTACCTTAGGGCACATGCATTTGCCAGAAAAAGACAGAGACAGTGAGAGGGGAAGTGAGAAATCACCCCTCAGGGAGGATGGCCATGCCACAGACCCTTCTCCATTTTCCTTCCAGGGTCTTGGGCATGCACACACATGTGTGCAGCATGGTTTTCAAGCCACCAGATCTGGAACTCAAACCGCAGTCAGCCATATGGGAGTCCAGCAATGTAATGGCTATGCCATCTGCAGGCCCCCTTTCTCCACCACTATTTTACAATCTTCTCCAAATACACTTTCAGCAACTTACTTTCTTCAGAAAATTGGAAGAGCCCGTGTTTATCATGTTAAAGGTAAGACTTACAGGCCATGGTAAGAGTAAGGAGGGGATTAGGGCAAGGCTATTTCTCAAAGCAATTGAGCTTTCCAACAGACATCCTGAGGTCTGAAATTTAAATTATATTATTCATCTGTAGCAAATAGAAACTAAAATTGGAGACAAGGAACGATTGGGTGGGAATCAATAGTCCAGTTGTCATCCTTTATGTTGTGTTTTGAGTATAAAAGAATTTACACACACAGGCCATCTTCTTCCCACAGCGGGCCCATTCCTGTTTCCTTATAGTTTTTTCCTCAGCCACTCTCTCTCCCTGAAATTTGTCCTTTCTAAACTGTTATTCAAGATCCATGGTTTACATAAACCCTTTGACTTTTCTCAGGAAGGGTGCTAGTATCTATTTCTAACCAATGCTCTCCTCTCCTTTTGGAGACTCTTACTGTACTTCTGGGTTGTGCTTAATTATGGTCAAAACATTCCCAACTAAAATGTGAAGGAGTAGGCCCCACACACTGGTATCTCCCATAGCAGATGTGTGTAGAACTCGAGGTAGGAGGAGAAAAGCATCATGGCAAATAGGAAAACAGTACTGGGTTCTTTCTGCCCCAGCTTAGTCATTAATGGGACACAGGGCTTGGGGACAGTGCAGCTTGGGGGGCAGGTTGGCATCTATTGGGTTGTCCAAGAAGTCATGATGTATTTTTTTCAGTGCAAAAATGCATCATGACTTTTCTGACAGATCGATATTGTATTCTCTCTAAGGCCTCTTCTGGATTTGGAATTTGATGATTCTAGTAACACGTAACTGACAAATAGAATGTAGTGTGGCGGGAACAGATTATGCAGCAATTTCAAGGTTGCTATGAGCCTAGAGAACAAAGAAGACAGAACTGCCATTGCTAGAAAAGAGTTAGGAGAGAGGTACTGGCTTGGTTAGGAGGGCTGGGCATTGGAGAGTTAGTTTAGTGCTGGCCAGACTTGAGAGTTGGTGGTCGTTGAGATGAGGGTTTTTATTTGTTTTTTTGCTTGTTTGTTTTTGTTTTTGCTTTGCTTTTCTGTCTTTATTCCTTTCATGAGCGATTGATCTTGCCACACTGCCATACCCCCCCCCCAGCCTTGCACCCAGCAGTGATGATGGGCATGCCTGGCATGTTCGAATTGACCCAGGATCCGAACCATGGCCTTCCCGTATAGCTCCAGTGTTGTGGGGAGATGCACTTCTGCCTATGCCACCATAGATGTGCCTGTCACCGAAAGTTTTTTTTGTGTTTTTTTTGTTTTGAGAGTTTTTTTTTGCTATATGGTACATGTGCTTGCCAGAAAGACAGAGAGAGACAGTGAGCCAGAAAGCGAGAAATCACCCCCAGGGGGGATGGCCACACCACAATCCCTTCTCCTCCATTCTCTCAGGATCTTGTGCATGCATGCATACGCGCCTGGCATGAGTTTAAGCCACCCGGTCCAGGACTCGAACTGCGGTCTTCTACATGGGAGTCCAGTGACATAGCCATTACGCCAACTGCTGGTCCCGTCACCGAAAGTTTTTAATACCTGTACTGTACTATAGACAGTAGCAAGTAGCAAGCAGTTTCTGAAGAAATGAGAATTGAGGAATGGAGAAGAGATTGAGACTCATCACCAAACAGGCGCAATGAGCCTGCAGGAAGAAGTGGCTCTAGACAGAGGAAAGGAAGGGGCATTAGCTTTCGAATGAAAGTATAGTTGAAGAGCTGGGAAGGCTGAGTGTCACTAAGTGTAGAGAAGAGGCAATATCCAATGGAGAAGCCAACAATTTGAAAACTGAGGAAAAGTTTGTATTTATTTGATGAACTTGGAGAAAGAATTTCCAACGTGTAGTGAGGTGAAGACAGCCTCTGGGTTGCAGGAGTCAAAGGAGGCAAGAGTAACTAGCCTCTGAGAGGAGGTTCAGTGTGATCTGAAGGGAAATTCAAAAGGCACAGCTGATGGAACCGCGTATGGAGGAAGCTGGAAACTAAACGTGTTTTGCCTAAATTGTCAGCCACCCTACTTCTCCACACAGAGGCTCCCCAGGCTCCTGCACTCTTTTTTTTTTTTTTTTTTTTTGGAGCGGTTTTTGCTATAGGGCACGTGTGCTCACCAGACAGACAGACAGAGAGACAGAAAGCGAGAAATCACCCCCCAGGGGGGATGGTCATGCTGCAATCCCTTCTCCTCCATTCTCCTCTCAGGATCTTGGGCACACACGCACACACACCCGGCGTGAGTTTTAAGCCACCGGGTCTAGGACTTGAACCATGGTTGACTACGTGGGAGTCCAGCAACATAGCCTTTATGCTAACTGCTGGTCCCTCCTGCACTCTCTTGAGAGAGACAGAGAGAGTGAAAGTGAGTAACACTCCCCAGGAGTGATGGCCACTCCACAGTGCCTCCTCCATTCTCTTCTTGGGATTTGGTGCACACAGGCACATGTGCTCGGGTTTGTTTTTCAAGCTGCCAGGTCCAGGAACCGCTGAGTCAACGTGGGTTCCAGCACCTCAACCACCACGCCATCTGCTGGCCCACCTGCAGGCATACTTTTATTACTTCAGAAAAAATAAGTCTAGTTATAAAAGGTAATTTGGGATGGGGTTTCTCTTCCTAAAGAAAGTTAACTTATGCTTTAGATTTTTATAAAAGGCCATGAATTAAAATGATGCCCTACTAAAAAATGGGTTTAAAATTTTAAGCACTACATTTTTATCTTTCCTTTTTAAAAATCTCACTTTTCTCACACCCAGAAGTGAATTTGTGGGGCCAGCTGGTGGCGTAGTGGTTAAGGTGCTGGACTTACACATACCTGATCACAGTTCAAGGTCTGAACGTGGCAGCCTGAAAATCACTCCTGGCATTTGTGTGTGCGCACACTCATGTGTGTGCGTGTGTGTCCAAAATCCCAGGAGGAGGATGGAGGAGAAGGGCTTGCGGTGTGGCCATCCCCCCTAGGGGGTGATTTCTCACTTTCCCTTTCTCTGTCTCGTTCTGTCTATCTCCAGCACCCACACTCACCCTATGGCAAAAACCTTAAAAGAAAAAAAAGTGTATTTGTCACACAGAACTCTGCTAAGTCTAAAGTTAAATGATCTTTTCATGGTAGCAGAACAATGAGAACAGTATCCATTGTAATGTTTTCTCCAAGAAGATGTTTACCCATTCTTATAACTAATAATAGTTAATGTTACCACTTGATTTTACATTCAGGTAGTTTATCTCTTGAAGAAGTACTTATTCTTTTATTTCTTTGTACTTATTTTCTACTTCCTTTATTTACTTTTTATTTCTAACTATATATCTTATAATCCTGATTAGTAAACTTCTAAATCTACAGCAAAATTTTGGGAAATAATTGACAATAGTAGATGTGTTTTGGCTAAGTGATGGGACCATGGGCATCTCCATCTTTTAATTTGGGGCAGCGATGAGGCCAGAAACCACCATTTTGTGTTTCTGTATTTCGATTTGGATATGAGGGTATGGAGACTAGTTCACAAACTGCTGTGTTGCTATTAAACCTTACTGAAATCTGACTTCCCCATCATGTTCTGTCAGCAATTTGGGAAAGCATTCCCACAGGGACAGTTTGGTGACTTCGGATACAGTACATCATGGAAGAGACTCAGCGATATTTACAATTTCCGCTTTTCTTTCTGATGTACAAGTCCATGATAAAATGTTGAAGGAGAATGGAGAGAGATGCAGGTATGGCCGTCCTCCGTGGGGTGTGATTTCTCACTTTCCCACTCTTTTTATCTAGCAACTAAAAAGAAATTTAAAAAGACATTAAAACACAAAAAAGATAGGTTATTAAAAAAATAAGCTGTTGAAGTTATGAAGAAAACAAAGTTCATAGTAAAACAGACATTGCTCTAGAAATTATGTTTTCCTGGTGGAGAATCTTGGGGAGAAAATTAGTAACCTGTTTGACCCTCAAACTACAAGCTAATCTCTGATAAAATGTGAGGAAATGGCAAGTCACAACTTATTCTCAAACATTTTCATTTTTTATTTCTAGCATGCTATTCAAGTTTTGCAGTTATTCAGTTATCTCTTACTTCTCCCCACCCGTATTAAATATATTAGAAAACTAAGAGTGTATGTGTTTTTAACATCAAATTGAATTAGTATAAGAATCATTTTGTGTTGTTGTTGCTGTATCATGTGCGTTTCTAAAACATGATTAGCTACACTTCTAAAAAGCACCTTTCAGTGTGTGACTCGGAGAAATGTAAACGATATAATACTGCTCACTAAAGCATTTTCATGTAATGATATGCAAAAGTAAGTATATAATGAAAAATTGTCACACACTATGGCACTGAGCCAAATGCATAGATTTCAAGTTTAAACATTTAGTTCTGTGTCCTAGTAACTAAGGTTTACCTGTTTCTTTCTTGTGTTTTTTTTCATAGAATTTAATTCCATTTCGACCTTCGATTCAGTTCCAAGGGCTCCAAGGGGTGAGTACTCGTACTAATTCAGAAAAAAAAAAAAAAAAAGAATATTCTTACATGTTTTAAACTTTTAAAATATGTCTTAACATAACCGTTCACTCATCTTTCAAATTTTGTGACCAAATGAAAATTTCTGGCATCTTTGATTAAGATGCTTAAATTATATTCTTAATTTATTTAAAAATTAGTTCAGATATAGTTGTTGATAGAGTGACTTTTTTCTCAAGTCATGAGTAAATGCATGTTTGAACCTTTTAATTGAAGTGTAGCATATGTGAATATATTTTACCACAACTAAATTCCTATATGGAATTATTATTTTTCAGACAAGTTATAATTATTTCATTGTTTCTATTAACAAAATTGTGCTGTCTGTACACTTAATTTTTTCAAATTATACATACTAAGAAATGAAATAAATAAATAGAAATTGAGTTTTTCCAATATACAACAGTTTTCAGTGTCTATCAGCACATTTAAAAATATAATAAATGAAATGGATCTATAAATTTGGGGGTTATAATAGATGGTAAACTATAGTAGTGTCAGTATTTTTAAATTGTTACTATTAATAGTTAATATTGATAGGCAGAATCAATCATCCTTTTTTGCTTCCTCTTAATATGCAATTCTGTATTTGTTCCTACATGCTGTCTATATATTAATAGTATGGAGGTTTGGAATGTCTATAAATGTGTCTTAGGGATATAGAGAAAAAGCAAGCAGAGAGACAAGGTCGTCGTTTGATTATTATAAATCCACATATTTGTTTAGTTATATCAACATGCAAAAATGTCAGTGTAAATACAGTCTCTCTAATCTTTATAACTTGAAAACATCTCAAGAGTCAGACTATTTATATCATTCACCACAGACTAAGAGTACTTCTAAATCTGTTGTGTGATGCTAACTTAAAGGCGATGTCAGAGCTTTGCTTCTACATGACGGCTTTACAATGAAGTCCTGTTTTCCCCCAGTGACTGAGTGTTCATGAATGGGATCTTAATTGGAACAAGTGTTCTTCTGAATTTTGTTGTATAACTTTTAAGGTAATCTTTAGTGCTGATTCTATATTTGAGGAGTTGGTTCAGTTTATATTTAAGGCTTCTTGAGTGTTCCTTCACTCTCCTTCAATCTTTGTGACATCGGTAATATCTAAAGGGATGTTCCAGAGGCAGCCTTGAGTCCGAGAGCCAAGGAGCACTTCATGGACGTTCAGTTAAGGGCTATCTGGGAAGAGAGAGCAATATGTATGGGGAAAGTGCGAGATTGGAACAGCTTTCCTCTCACCAGGAGCTGTGGCGCCATCACTGTGTTCTGGGTCTGCCTTCCCCTCATTCTCTTTCTCCCAGTTGGCATATCAAGGTCCGCAGGGAAATACAAGTAAGGCTATTTTCTTAGGAGGCACCAAGTTAGATTCAAAGACTAAGTGATGAGGAGACAATCTGTGGAGGCTTTCAAACTTTCGATTCTGACACATGTAGCTGTAACAGTGTGGGAAGGAACGTACGTGGTTTTCTCTGGCAAAGTAGTTGCCCGCAAGTCCTAGGCGCCATTGCAGAATGGGGAGTTTACATTGAGATCTTAGGCCTTTCCGAGTTTTCTCACCTGCCTCCCCCTTCAACCTTCCTGTTCCCATATGTCCACGTTCTCTCCATTTATCTTGGCTTGCTTTGACTCCCTCTTCCTTCTCTATGGGCTGTTCCTTGCCTGCATACAATTTACTGATAATGATAATTCACATAGAAATAACTGATGGTTTTAAATCCTAATGAGTGTTTGACTTTTAACCGCTAAGCCTTCTCACACAAATGGATCATGATTAGACTTGGTAGAGTGGGTAAGGTGTGGAGGTGCTGCAAACTGGAGCCGTAGGATGCTTGGCCCTACCTTGCTTATTCTGGGTCTGTCTCCTCGAAACCCCCCACCCTTTTTATTATTCTAACTGGGAACAAAATATATGGACTCAGCATTGTTTTAGAGCTGCAGCTGCATTCCATCCACCCCTCCTCCCTCTCTCTGCAGAGCTCTCCCCAGCCCCTCCGGTCTTAGTAAAAACAAAGAGTCATTGCAGGAGAGAGAGTGGGTTGGCACAGCCCACAGGGACTACCAGAGCCACCAGTGTGAGGGTCTTCTGTCTATTGCTTCTCTGTTTTTCTCAAGAGCCATGATAACTTAACATCACCCGTGCCGATTTTCTTAAAAACTTTCTGAAGAAGTTTGCTTACAGTTTTGCTCTGTGGAAAATGTGTAGAGCTTTATAATGCAAGGTTTCAACTTGTATTCCCCACAAAAGATATTTTTCTTAGTGAAAACTTTGTCTTCTTACATCAAACATTATTGAAAATGTACCTTAATGATCGTGATAGTGTCATATATAGGCATATTTAAAGAATTATTAAAATATAAAAGTAAGCAGGCATTATTAAACATTTTTCCTGTTTTCTTAATGAAGCTCAAGTTAACTGCATAGTTTTGCTCTTTCTTGTTACTAAGTATAGGGTTTTTTTCCCCCCTAGTAATGTATTTAAAAGTCCAGATTTGAGTCTTGACAGATTAGCTTTTAAGCATGTTTACTTTGTTCCTAAATATGTTCTCTTAGGTTGTGGTGTCCTTCTAAATAAATGGCAGATGGAAACCACACAACAGCAGTATGCTGTTAAAGAGTGAAAATTGTAAGAATCATCAATTACCTGGACTCTTATCATCACAGTGAGCAACAACTTTCAAAGCATAAAAATATTGTGTTCTTCAGAGTTCATCCCACCTCTTTCCTTAATGGAAGTGTACCCAGGAAATTAGATGGTCATTGAAGACATTTTCTGAATTCAGAAAGATGAAGGTGTACCAATAGGAGCAGTTGGTTGTGATTTCTAAACTCATAAATACCAGAAGCTAAACAAGTCACTCCAGAAGTCCTTGTTTATTCTGAAGAGTGTAGGCCAACCAGTTACTCTCACAAATCTAACCCATCCCCACTATAGTAATAACTAGAAGTTTATTAGGATTATAAATATCCTAGACTAGCATATTTAAACAGAAAAGGTGGCTGGTGTGCTACCATATTGACATCTTCAAGTTACAGCATTCAGAGGTTATATGTACTCAGTTTCCAAACGCTTTCTCTTTATGGTTAAGGAAGCTGGAGGACAAACACCAGCAGATTTCTGCCTTTTTATTTTAACCAGATGCTGAAATTGTACCAAGGTGAAATTTTCCAAAGATGCAGGTTCTCATGAATGTTTAAAAAACAAGTTGTAGACATCCAATGCAATAGCAGCTTGGTGGAGCTCAAAGTGATATTTATAGACAGAAGGTAAACTGTCAAGGAATTCAAACCATTAGATACTTGTTATTTGGACCAAGACAAGGGATCTTTGATTTATTGGATCAACTAGCAACAGAAAATAAAAAGTAGTGTGGCACAAACTCTTCCCCCTTTGAAAGCATCCTTCTGGTCATGATAGAAGAGAAACTATAATTCATATCAGAGGACTTCCTCTCCAGGAGTCAGGTATACAGAACCAGAGAGATCCCCCTGGGACAGAGACTACTTTGATTATGGCAGGTCAGAATATGAACATTCAAGGAGAGGACGTTCTTATGATGATAGCATCAAGCCACAAAGCAGGGACTAAGAAAAACATAGAGAAAGAAAGATGGATCAGAAAACATCCTGAAAATTCCCATCTCCTGGGAGAAGAAGCCCAGAACCACCAATAACCCTGAGTTCCTCTGCTCAGGAAGAAACTACTGCAAAGAAAAGGAAAGATGAGCTGGATCCACCTCTCACCCACACTGGTGGAGCCTATGTTCCTCCTACAAAGCTCAGGAGTATGCAAGAACAGATGACAGAAAAAAATAGCTCATCATAACAAAGGATGAGCTGGGAGGCCTAAAGAATTCAGTCAATGGGGACCAGCATGTAGTCGACCGCAGTTCGAGTCCTGGACCCCATGGCTTAAACTCACGCTGGGAGCATGTGCATTCGTGCCCAAGATCCCGAGAGGAGAATGGAGGAAAAGGGATTGAGGCATGGCCATGCCCCCTGGGGAGTGATTTCTTGCTTTCTGACTCTCTCTCTCTTTCTGGTGAGTGCACACACCCTTTAGCAAAAACCTTTCCAAAAAATAAATAAATAAAAATAAATCAATGGTCTTACCAGCAAAGTCAACACTGCTAATGTAAGTATTATCATTCAAGAGCTTCTCCAGGAAAATATAGTTAGAGGAAAAGACCTGCTGTCTAGATATCTCTTGCAAGCACAGAGTGCTTCTCCAGTCTTCACCCATGTTTATGCAGCATTTATGGCAATTATTAACCCAAAATTTCCACAAATCAAATTAATCCTCAAAAGGATAATTCTTAGTTTTTGAAAAGAATATTGAAGAAATGATAAGTAACTTTGTCTGACTGCTTCAAAATTTGTGGCACATCTTATTAACCAAAATGTAGCACATTAGGTTTTATACTTAGACATGCTCACTTTGCTCTTGGAAAGACCAACAGATGATAGTGTCAAAGTGGCTATTGGTTTTCTCAAGAAATGTGGCCTCAAGTTAATACAGGTTTCACCAAGAGGGATCAATGCAATATTTGAACACCTTCAAAGCATTCTGCATGAGTCTGAAATTGACAAAAGAGCTCAATATATGATTGAAATGATGTTCACTGTAGGGAAGGATGGATTCAAGGACCACCCAATTATCCAAGAAGGGCTTGACTTACTGGAAGAAGATGATCAGTTCATCCATATGCTGCCTTTGGAGGATGACTATAATCCTGACGAGTTCTTAATGTTTTCAAGATGGGCCCTAATTTTACAGAGGCTGAAGAGAAATACAAAGCTATTAAGAAGGAAATTCTTGATGAAGGAGACAGTGACTCAAATATAGACCAAGATGCTGAAAGTAGCAGAGAGGAAGAGGGAGAAGATAAAGAAGGACAAAAAGTAACAATTCATGACAAAACTGAAATTAATCTGGCTTCATTTTGACACACAATTT